TGAGTATATTTGAGAGGTGAGATAGAGCCAGACATGCTTCTTAACCGAGCGTTAACTTGAGACTTTTACAAAAATGATTTCCATCAAATGATGGACGAAATTTTGGTCCTTTTTAACCCGAAACGAGGGAGGACTGAGTGAACTTGAACATCGTAAATCAGCAATCGTTTTCTGGCGAGATCAACCACTGAATCTTTTCTTCAAGCATTCTCATACGAAATGAAAGTCTCCTCTTTGTATCCTCAATTGTTTTGTATGCCAGCAAGGATTCTGCATTATGCATAAAGATGCTTGAATCTCGATGAAATATGCAGAATCTCGAGTCAGGCCAAACGAATGGCTGAAATCAGTCATGTTAACTCTACTCGGCAATGCTATGATTTTGTTCTACCCGCGTTGTCAAGCCGTCTCAGTCCTTTCCACAGCAGGTCATGCATGTATGCTGTCAATGCCTGCTCGGTTGTCTCAGAGGAAGTCTTCTCTTTCCGGCTCCAACAAGCTAGCAACGCGGTTGTATTGATACCTCTTGGGCGTCTTACCCAACACCAATGTCCTGGATCAATGCAGCGAATTGGCAACGACATTAAGTAGTCTTTTGGCACTTGTATGCACAAAAGTGCATGCCAACAGACGCACATGCGTACAAGCAAACAGACATACAGACGTGCAGAAATACGGAAGCAGGGATGCAGGATCAGAAGGGGACAAGGGGGAGTAGTAACATGTCATAGAGGAAGGAGGGTCGTGCGATTTTGAGGAAAGCCAAGTCCAACAATTGTAATCGGATAAATAATTTTTATTGTATAGAATGTGTAAAAGGTAGATTAAGGAATGTTGGTATGAAAAATTAGCTGAGCCATCCTTTCCACCTCGTCCATGTGTCTCATTATCGAGTGGATAGCCCAGGAGAATAAAGTCGGGTAGTACCAGTTAAGTACACGTATCCATTCCGCATCTCATTACCATTTAGAGCATTAAGTACAATTCAATTAATTTTTGTCTTTTGAGTAGGTTCTCGAGACCACCAGTAAATCATATATACGAATTGTGTTCACCCTATTTCGCTTAAAGTGATTAATGAGATGTATTCACCCTATTTCGTGTAAGATGATGAAGGACTGGTAGTAGAATTTTCCCACAATG